GTGTGTGTGTGTGCGCGTCTGTGTGTTTGTCTGTGTGTGTGTGTGTGTGAGAGAGAGTGTGTGAGTGTGTGTGTGTGTGAGAGAGTGTGTGAGTGTGTGTGTATGTCTATGTGTCTGTGTGTCTATGTCTGTGTCTATGTCTGTGTCTATGTCTCTGTGTTTGTCTCAGTGTCTGTGTGTGTGTGTGTGTCTATGAGAGAGAGAGTGTGTGAGTGTGTGTGTGTGAGAGAGAGTGTGTGTGTGTGTGTATGTCTATGTGTCTGTGTGTGTGCGTCTGTGTCTATGTCTGTGTGTGTGTCTCAGTGTCTGTGTGTGTATGTGTGTGTGTGTGTGTGTGCGTATGTGTTTGTGTGTGCGTGCGTGCGTGTGTTTGTACTCACTCTTGTTTCCGATCAGTGATATTGCCAGCTGTGTGTCGGACTCTTCGTTGGCTTTTCTCACCATGTTCAGCCAATCTTCAAGATTCTCAAAACTCTGAGAATTAGTGATGTCATACACCAGGAGCACGCCCTGCACACACACACACACACACACACACACATGAACATCATCACCTGGGTTTCATGCATGTAAAACATCACAGACTTTCACAACCGATTCTCACTTTGACATTTAGCAGAATCACACTCACACGCACTCACACGCACTCACGCACACTCACGCACACGCACGCACACGCACACACGCACACACACGCACGCACACACACGCACACACGCACACGCACGTACATGCACACACACGCACCTTCCCAACACCAGCAAATGTGATGATGTGTGTGAGCAGCAGGTGGCACTAGAACCTGAATGTGTGCGTATATGTGTGTATTTACAGCAGGTTTCTGACTGTATTCTTTACACTATTTACATTGCTAACATTATTAAGCTGCACACTGACAGACAAACATTCATCTGCTCATCAAGCATTAAATATTGGAGTTTGTGTGTGTGTGTGTGTGTGTGTGTGTGTGTGTGTGTGAGAGAGAGAGAGAGAGAGTGTCTGTGTGTCACCTGTGCTCCGTAGATGTATTTGTCGAGCATTTTTCCTCCAATAGTCTGTCCTCCGATGTCCCACACCTGCAGCGTCACATTCAAGTTTCCTTCAACACGAGTGAAAACACGATTAAAGATTATTTCAGCCGCACAGAGAACTACAGCACGAGCTGTTCGCTTCAGTTTATCCCACTGTATCCTACACTGATCTTCTCATTAACGTTACTGTCACCACACGAAGAGGAATTTGTTGTTGTTGTAGTTTTTGCTTAAATGTTACATTTAAACACTGTGTAAAACAATCAAAGTGTCAGTAACACTTTACGAAACGTTTTTATTTGTTAACTGCATTAGTTAACATGAAATAGCAACAAATGATATTTCTACAGCAGTTATTAACCTTAGTTAATATATCTGTACAATCAAAAGTTATATTGGTTAACAGTATGTAATAATCTTATGTACAGCCTTTATTTGTCACTGCAATCGCACTGATTTTAGAACTGACCACTGCTATATTTACAATATTTATTAACAAAATGAACTGTTCACATATTCATAAAGCATCTTCAGCTGCAGTTCAGTTTTCATTACTTTGCAAACGTACGCAAGTTTACGAAGAACTGAAAACTAAATTGATATAATGTGCAGTACAACAGAAATGAAAATGATAATTAAATAAATATAATGATGATAAATCATGAAACTATGAAACTCAAAACAAAATAATATTTGTTCATAGTTAATGGAGCTCAGAGCGTTACAGTCAATAGATTCAGACTATACAGTCGCATGTGTATATATATATATATATATATATAAACCACACTCGTGTTCATCCCACACTTCTCTTCACGTGCTTCTATAAAGATCTCTTCTTTATTTATTCTAGAATTCAGTCTTTCCGGTAAGCGACTGGCTCGTTCTGAATGTGCTGACGCTGTGAGTTTCTCTCTCAGGTATGGTGCATGAGAACAGACCCCAAAATAACCCACGACTCTCCAGCGTTCAGCGGCACACTCACAATACACATACAGAAGGCCTCTGTGTAGAGCGCCAAACACACCTTTCACTCGTGTCACCGCTGCAGACGCTGCCTGTCAGACTCTGTTCCGTGTTTTGTGGTTGTTTTCCTCATGTGCCTTCCTTTCCCATGTTTAATTTGTCCCAGGTGTTTCCCATGATGTTTCATTGCTCCCAGGTGTCTCGTCATCCCCTCCTCCTGTGTGTATAAATAGTGTTCCCTGTGTGTGCTCCAGCGTCCGGTATTGTCTATGTCTACATGTATTGCGTGAGTGTTCCTTTGTATTAATTAAACCCATTTGGATTGATGTACTCCTCGTCTCTCTCCGTTCCTTGCTCCTCAGTCCGCTCAGCAGTGCACCCGTGACACTGCCTTTACGCTTAATTCAATTTTCTTTCAAGATTCTAATGCACCTTACTGAAAGATCACCTGTAAAACATCATGGGGCCGGACTCAAGAACACTAAAAAAAAAAAAACACTAAGAAGTTTGTAAGAATGTTTCGAAGTGCAATTGTTGAATAAAGCAATAAGCCCCGTGAAGCCGTGGTTTACAGTGAATTTATAACAGCTAAGGGGCTTAGCTGTTATAAATTCACTGTAAACCACGGCTTCAAGGGGCTTACTGCTTTTATAAAACGGTTATTCCATATACATAGTAAGGTTTCACAGAATACAACAGAGCAAATAAAGTGTAATGATATTAATAAAAACAGTATTCTTCCACCAAACAATGTAGCTCCTCAGAAACAGTTGTGGTTGCAACAAAGTGGTTGCCGAGCAACACACAAACGTAAACAAAGGTGTGTGTTACTTTGTAGAGTAATTTACAACAGCTTCGAACGCGGCTCAGCCAATCAGAATCAAGGACCGGAACTATCCACTTTATAAAAGAATTTTTTCACATTTATTTAAATATTTAAATTCAAAAGCAACTTCTACATTGAAGTGATATCATGTGATCTACATTTCACAACAGTATCAAAACATCAAATTCAAACTGGTTTGGTTTGGTCAGTTTTTCTCTTTATGTTTCTTTTTACTTATTTTTATAGAAAGTTAATGCTATAAAACTAAGTGCGTGTGTGTGTGTGTGTGTGTGTATATGTATATATATACAGTTTTACGTACTGGAATATAATAATTTCCAATAATTCATCCCCAAAATGAAATTTCTTAATATTATAATGCAAATTTCACCCCAGCCAAATTTAGACGTATCAAAATATCTGGTACATTTTGGTCGCCTTTTCTTTACAGCATATGCTTCCTTTTACTGTATATAGGTACACTCTATAAAAGAAGTGTCTCTTAAGTTGTATTTACTGGGAAAAAAAATCCTCAAAATGAAATTTCTTAATATTATAATTCAAATTTCACGTCAGTCGTATTTAGACGTATGAAAATATCGAAAACAAACTGGCTTGATTTGGTCACTTTGTCTTTCCACTTCATTTTATAAAGGTAAATGCTATAAAAAGATGTCTATATGTAAGCTTTACTAAATAGAATATTATTATTCTCAATCATTATTCCCCAGAATAAAATGTCTTGTATTGTCCTCTGAAATAGACAATAATAGTAAACCCTCAAGCCGTACGTATGCCATCCTGAGTTAATGTTGTCAATAAAGGCTTAAATCTCTGTCTGAGATGTGTTTGTGGCAGAGTCTATTGGTCTCTCAGTCTGCAATTAAGCATCAAACTAACCCTGTTCCTCCAGCTTACAGTACACAACCCGTCTTTGAGAGCGAGCGCTGCGTGTTTGTTTAGGAGCGAAGAGCTTTCGTAGGTAATAAAGCTGAAGAGAGGCAGACGTACAACACACACACACACACACACACACACACACACACACACACACACACACACACACACACACACACACAGGC